CTCAGCAGATGGCTGCTCACACTGAGCCTGGTTCTGCTGGAGGTTTCTTCCTGTTAAAGGGAGTTTTTCCTCTCCACTGTCGCTACAAACATTGCTTCTGAGTCAATAAATTTATGCAATCAGCTGGTTAAAGAAGTTTGAATCAATCTGGCTGGATGATCTGATTGAACTGTAAAGTGCCTTTAGATGACGTGTCGTGAATTGGCGCTATAGAAATAAACTGAATTTAATAAACTAGACAACTTGATTATCCCCCTTATTCTGTTGTTGCACTTGATCGCCATCAGACACGTTTCATCATGATATTGAATTTCAACACTTCTAGAAGATTGTCTTGATTCTCAGCCAAGTGAAAAGAAAATGGCTTAACCATTGGTAAACTCTAACAGGCATAATTCAATAAACAACCAGAAAAAAATAAACAAGCTGTTAAAAAGTGATGAGACGATAGAGCATTTAAATCCATGGTATTTATTCAGAGTCTAAAAACCAGACGGACATGATTGACATCCCGGCTCAGAGGGTCATTTCTAAACAAAACAATGAACCAATAAATAAAGGATTGTGGTGAGTTGAGCTTCCTGAAGAACAAACCAGAGACCCTTTGATTCTGGGCTGATGGAAGCCATCATGCTGCTTTCTGCTCCAGCTGCTTATTACAGGATGGTCGCCTAAAACGGAGCCGATGCCTGAAAATAGTTTGGATCAGCAAGAAGCCACAAAGCAGAACTAAAGAGCTGATTAGACCTGACCTGTGAAGTAACCTCTGATGCATTCATAACATTTTATTGATATTTAAAAATCCATCCATCCATTTTCTAACACGCTTATCCCGAGTGAGGTGGCGAGGGGTGCTGGTGCCCGTCTCCAGCTGTCAGTGGGTGAGAGGCGGGTCCAACCTGGACAGGTCTCCAGTCCATCGCAGGGCGACACAGAGACAAACAACCATTCACACTCACACCTAAGGAGACTTTAGAGAAGCCAATTAACCTGACAGTCATGTTTCTGGACTGTGGGAGGAAGCAGGAGTACCCGGAGAGAACCCACACATGCTCAGGGAGAACATGCAGAAAGACCCGGGCTGGGAATCGAACCCAGGACCTTCTTGCTGCACTGTGCCACTGAGCAGCACCAACATCAGAAACAATTGATGCTCATAAAGAAATACTAAAAACTGCTGCTTTGTTTTTCAAACATTTCCCAGGTGATGTTGATGCCAGCGGTTGGCGATGACGCAGCCGGCGAGCAGAACAGAATCAGGGAGGGTTTGATGTCTGATATTTATTTTTATTAGGGGAACAATAAAACCCCTCTAGGTGATGACGGAACCCAGAGACTCCTCTACTCAAACACCGCCTCAGATCTCTGATCAAAGTAATAATGACTGTGTAAACAAATAAAAGAGCAATAAATGTTTACTTGCGCATTAAAAAAAGGTATTAGTCACATTAATACAGAAATAAATGGCACATTGAATTCCTAATTTCAACACAAAGTGGTGCTTTTCTCGAGACAAGTTAAATAAATTACTACCATAAATGTTACATACAAATCTGGAGTAGTATATACACAGGAGCTGTTAAGACACAAATAAACTACAGTTTCTGTTCAGACAGCAGTAGAGGTGTATGATACAAACAGAGGGATGGTGGAGGGGGGTGGGGGGGCTGCAGCCTTGGTAGCAAAGTTAAAGGAAAATGATGGCAGCTTTCTCCATCCAGGCTCCAAGGCTGTTTAGTTTCATCGCAGTAAAGGAAACGGAACGATTGAGAAGAAGTAGAAAACTGAACTACTCTGGTCTAAAAGAAAAGAATTTTCCTTTTCCAACTGGTTCCCACCTCTGCGGCCGACCCAGCCCCTCATCCCCACCTCCCGCCTTCAGATTGTTTCAAAGACATGATAGAAATCCCTCCTTTTCCTTCTGCTTCCCTTAAACATCTCCGTTGTAGTAGTGGTTTGGTAAAAGCGAGCAAAGCCGAGCCGAGCGAGGAAACGTTCATCTTTTATGTAAACATTTATTCTGGATCTCCAGCCGATTCTTCTGGGTCGATCTTCATTCCTGGGCATGTTGAGGAGAACAGCTAACGGGAGATTGCTCCTTCTGTTTTTAAAAACCCCAAAACAAAATAAAAAAGGAAATCCTTCATGAACCGTTGCAGAGTTCTCCTGCTCCACCGTCTCCAGGGCAACATGCTGGCCAGAGCATCCTATGGGTGGGCTGCATGGGGCAGTGGGAGCAGAGCTTTATGAGGTCATCCTCAGGGCAGATTTGGTCCATCAACCAGGCAGTCTAATGAGTTCAGTGAGCAGCTTGGCGGTCTGCAGCTCCTCCGTCATTCCTCCTTAAAGTGTGAGTGGGAGGGGGGGTTAGTAGAGAGGGGACAGGTGGTAGTTTACAGGAGGAGGGTCTGGAAGGAAGGTGGCGCCGCTCCAAGCTGCAGGATGGCGCCCAGACAGCGTGTTCAGACTCCCTCTGGGACTGCTTTTCTCTTTACTAACAGAAACACTGTAACATGTGACAGATTATTAGTTCAACACTAGTGATCAGTGGTGAAAGGCCCCTTTCCCTCTTTGTTCTGCTGAGGTTGTTCAGCAGAGAAATCCAGCAGGCACAGCAACGCTCCCTGTTAGTTCCTGGGTGAGTTTAAAGCCCCGCCTCTTTTCTAGGCGTCTGACAGGCAGCTCTGAATACTGTCCATCCACAGCTGTGCGTTGGAACTCTCCTGGGCACAGAAGTTATACATCCGCTTGGCCGTCTTCAGCTGAAAGCAGACAAAGGATGGTTAAAGTTAAAGGGATCCACAAACACAGGAAAGGTCAGAATTAATAAAAGAAGAATAAAAGGCCTGAGGGGATTATTATTATTATTATTATTATTATTATTATTATTATTATTATTATATTGTGTCAGACACACCAGCTTTGCCAGGGATAGAATTATGTTCAGTTAATCTATATAAGAATCAATCAGCAACAATTAAGTCATTTTAAAGCATTTAGATCAGATTTACTTCAAGCTTCTGTTAATGTTTAGACTAGCTCTTCTCTCCAAGCTCCTACATGTGTCTTTTACTTAATGCCTTATTTTTCAGAGGGAAACACTGTCTAGTGCCAAAGAGCACCTGAAAGTTACTATGAATCAAATTTGATTTATACATGTTGGTAGAAGAACGTAACTCAAAGTTGTAGGACGAGAACTTTCAAAGAATGGAAAACTCTGGCCACCGGTAATGAAAGCTTAACATAGCGATATGGCTAAAAAATGTTTTTAGCTATTTTGGGCGATTAAGATTTTAATAGAATTTAAAGGGGAACGCTGGTTTTTTACATTGGCTCCTTGATTTTACGTTATTCCATCATGTTCTACTCCCCATA